CCCTCCCCCTATCTCTCGCTATCTCTCCCTCTCTCACTATCTCTTTCGTCTTTCAATAATATATCTGCTTTATTTCACACCATCATTTCAATCTACAGTATTTCTCTATGGCCTACATTTTTTTTTTAGGATATAATCAAACACAAAAGACAAACTGGTTAATCCCACTTGATTTTCTTACTTTCCACTAGACTTAGCGTAAATGAGTATATCACGGAAGAAATTAAGAATGAGATCGAGTTCATTCATGGCTATATACTGCACCCTTCCTAATCCATACTGTACCAAGGCAACAGATTGATTTTTTCTAGATATTTACAGATAATGTCTCTGTCTATGGTCAATCTTCTTACTGGAAAATGTACAAAATATGCCTAAAATTTCTGCCACCCTGGTAGAGGGCGTCCAATCCTCACGCCTTTCCTTATTAGTTATCAGCAGGTACTGGTTGGTCTTTAGATTGAAGGTAACGTACGGAGATGGTGATGATTTTGTTGACAGATTACAAGTATTTAACCAAAGTTCTACGCAAATGCCATAATGCGCTTGAAGGCTAGTATAAAATTAAAACTGCTGATTATGTGTGCCTATTTGAACTATACCGATTTGTACCTGTTCGGATTATTTTAATGGACGGACAGTTTTATGTCCGACATAAGACGAAATCAGTTTATCAAGCAACCGCGTTCTCTAGCACAGAACTTCACTCCATCTCTCTTCTCTCTCTCTCTCTCTCTCTCTCTCTCTCTCTCTTACCTGCACGTTCGTGGTAGAATTTCTTTGTCCGTATTTTTTCAGCTGTACATTATTTCTCAGAAGTTGAAATGATATATTCGTATTACTTAAGCTGATAGAGGCACTTTTATTATATTTTAAGGCCAAGAAAAAGTATGATTAAAAGCAACTTGCAATATATTAATACTCAAATAGCTATAAGCGGACACCTGTTGCTCGAACAGTGAAGCATGCAACCAAGTTTTCTTTGCATAAAAAAATCTGAACCAAACGACCAGTCACCTCATCTTTGAAGGACTGTTGGAAACCCTGGTTTAATTGCTTGTATTTGTTTTTTTATATATAATAAGATGGAGGTGCTTAGATTTCATTGGTTTATATCCCTTTTTCCAACTGTCAAATTATTTGACCACTGAGGTCGCTCACGTTTCCATGCAATATTGTTATTTGTACTTCCTATAGGTTCGGTTTGTCAGCAGGACAAAAGTTCAGCAAATGGTTTATTCTAAGGCATTTCATGCATCAAAATAATCTCATTACGCACGGGAAATTGAAAGTAAAGGAACAATTGTTAAGTGAGTATTGAGGAAAGAAAATGATAATGATAAAAATTGCGATTTACCGGTAATTTACGATTCCTTTTCTGAGTGTACTGTGACTGACAGGGAATTCCCAAATGACGTCACTCTAGTAAGTCGTGGCGCATGCGCATCACAACAAAGCTAAAGGAGCTTGTCTGTTAGTCGCGTGAAGAATGAGGGTAAGAAACAATTTTATTGATTATTATACTCACGGCAGAACGTTTGTAAAACGTGAAATATCACGTACTCTTAATTGTTACTCGATGCATATTTTCAATTGGTCTTTTAATTAATGTGCAGAGTAAGGGAAAGAAGAGTTGTAAACGGTAGACCCACGGAGCCATAGAAAATGCCTGTTTTGGGGCTTACATGCTACGGTAATGTTTAGAATGTAAGGCCGAAAACTTGAGATACCCATACACAAGGCATGGCATATTGTTCAGTTTTAGTTGCTTCAGATAATAGGGCAAATGAGGTTGAATTCTGGTGACCTCAGAAGCCAGAGGAATGAATATGAAGTATGGCAGTGAGTGTGGGTCTCCATGGTTATTTGTATCCGTTATAACCTCCCATATAAAAGTACTTCTAGTTTTACCACCAGTGCAAGCTCCACGGTTAAGCTTGGAATTTGATATTCTTCCTGTTGGTTCCTTTCCAACATTCCTCAGACTCAAGACGAAGGCTCCGTTTCTTTATGTTCTGAATAATAATAGGCAACAGTAAATAACATTATAATAGCATGTTGTTTTGTCTTTTTACTTGATATGCAATTGGTTTTTATGCACAACTCTGGTTGTAAAAACGAATTATTTTCATCAGACTGACAAGTAATCCCCATATGTCTTATTCAGCATAGGTCAACAGAAAAGTTGCCCTTATCTCTAATGTGTCTTAATTATTGTTGGTTAAGCTTTTTGGCAAGCCAACAGTAGATATCTCACTTCTCTCTGTTTGTCTATGCCAGGGAAGGTAGTTATTCGGACAAAGCTTTTGCCAAAGACCAATACTAATTCACTTTGTATAAATGAGATTAAATGTGCAGTATTGATTTGATGACAGAAGGTGTCAAAAAAGCAGAGGAAATATAACTGAAACAACATTACCTGAAGTTTTCCAAGCTAGGGTATTCCTGCCAAAAACTCAAATCATAACATGAATTTCCCTGGGATAAATTACATTTTCCTTCCAACTTACCAATCTTTAATCTTTCGTTTCTGACACTCTCCATAACTCTGTAAAAATTTTGAAAAAAGCCAATGATCAAAACCCACAGTTAAGCCCAGGTTTTCCTAGCTCTTCTTTGGATTTATTATATTGACTTGACATATGACAAGACTCTTGTGCCACATCCAGCATTGTTTTCAAGATGGCAAACGTCCAAGGTTGAACAGGGAATGATGTTTTGTGATTATTTTTTGCTATATTGATTAAGGCCATTTACTAGTAGCTGTCAGTTTATGTTTTAAAAGTTTAGCTGTCATTCTATGTTTAAATTGCCCTCAGGTAAGTTCAACAAGAAGCAGGTTATGCTCTTTAAGACTTACAATGGATCAAAATCCTGGTTGGATCACTTTAAACTTAAAGGAAGTGTGTTTTTGGTCATATATCTTTATACTGGAACATTGCTCCACATTACACTATTGTCATCCAATTCAGGCTGCCATACAACTGTATTTTGATTAATTTATAGTCAGTCTCATTCTTTACCAGCTGTTACCAGAGGCGTATAATTGATGAATTAGATTTGGATTCAGCTGTGTAAATTTATTTAAAGACCTATGTATATGACATTTAGGTGTAGTTTTAATATACCTCTACAAATAAATATATGAATTATATAGTATTTGCCATTGTTAAGCCATATAGCTTTGAAATTAATTATGTTATTCATTGCATGCACAAAAAGAAAAGGAAAGTTAAACATATCAGTGATCATTTTTATGATGTCAAATTTTCCATATCTTTTATATTCCAGAGAAAAAAATCCAGGATACTTGCAATGGGTTGAACAAAGTTCCCACCCTCCAAGTTTCTCATTCAATTCAAATAGAAGGACTTCCGTTTACAATGTCCACTCAAAGGACATATTCATAAAAACTGAAAATGAAAGAAAAGAAAATCGGGAAATTAGTTTTAGGTGTGTTAGCCATCCTAGTGCTTTTGGGGTTCCTATTCATGGGTTACTTCTGTGCCGACCAAACGTGTGCCTTAAAACCTGGCTCCCCTACGCCAGGGTACCTTCACTTTGATGTGCAAGCTTACCTAAAGGGGGAGCTACCTGCCAAGGTGTTTGAAGAAAAGGACTTGGAACGGGATTTCCAGGTGGATTTGGAAGACGGGGACGTGATCGTCTTTCACCATATGCAGAAGACTGGAGGGACTACATTTGGGAGGCACCTGGTGAATGATCTGCAGCTTAAGGTAATATTCACAGGAGGTTGAAAAACTGGTATTTTTGTCTGCTGTATCATCCTTTTTGTTGAATTATCTAGGATGAAAGTTGCTGAATGATTGAACACATTAATGAAACCTTGAAAAAAATCCTCTGGGTTGAATTTAGTACTAGTATTTTACCCATCTAAAAGCTATATAGAACTACACCGGATACTCAGTAGTATTTTATTCAACATGTAGTGGCTGCTGATTCATTCAGATCTATTTTATCTTTAATTTACCTCAGGTAATTGCTGTTATCATCTTTTATTATTGCCATTTCACTATGATCCTTGTTATGTTGTGCTCCTTTCTTATGACAAATAAGAAAAAAAAGTAAAGAACTGTTTGGTAAATTTTATTTTAGCATCCCTGTAGAAAAGTGGATGGAAGGAAGCGTTACGACTGCCAGAACTCTGATCATCACGTGTGGCTGTTTAGCCGTTACTCTACTGGTTGGCGATGTGGCCTCCATGCTGACTGGACCGAATTACAAGAATGTGTGGACAGGGAGATGGATGCATTTGAAGGGAAACACAGGACGCGAAGGTTTGGGTTCTTGATTTGTAGGAACATAAGGCTTTGATGATATGACTCAACAGATTAAAATTTTGTTTGAAAAACAAGTGTAATCTTAAAGAGTATGTGACTCATAAATCTTTTCATACAGCTGGTTTATAGAGTGAAGAAGTGAATGCTATTGATCTACGTACAAGGTAGATGCCCTAGTGATTTACTGCTTATTATAAAATATGCTATCAGTATTATCTGCCTCTTGCTGCATCTTTGCCATAATCTGCTTCTTGGTATTTAAAATGGTTGAAAAAGTATCACTGTCATTTCAAACTAGACATATTTCATTTTCAGATACCATTACATCACTATGCTACGAGATCCTGTCAAGCGGTACCTCAGCGAGTGGATGCATGTACGACGTGGCGCCACCTGGAAAACTGCCCAGTTAAGATGTAATGGTCGCCAGGCCACATTACAGGAAGTGCCTTTTTGCTACAACAGCTCAGACTGGTATGGGGTCACCATTGAAGAGTTCTTGGCCTGTCCTCATAACTTGGGGAATAACCGTCAAACCAGAATGCTCGCCAATCTTAGCGCTGTTGGTTGTTATAACAGAAGCCTATTGCCACCGGATGTGCGCGATAAAATGCTCTTAGAAAGTGCCAAAACTAATCTTAGAAATATGGCTTACTTTGGCATATTGGAGTACCAGCCAGAAATGCAGTATTTGTTTGAAAAGACCTTCCATTTAAAGTTTGGTGTGCAATTTAGTTTGTTTAATAAGACACATATCACTAAGCTAAAGATGAGCAACAAAACAGTAGAGGAGATCGTCAAGGTTAACAGCCTCGATGTGAAACTGTATCAGTACGCCAAAGAACTATTTCTACAGAGGGTTAATCATGCTCGAAGGAAAGCAGCCAAAGCCCAGGAGACCATTTCACAGTATTCTAATCTCGAGAAAAGCAATATTGACTACATTGTGGACAGTTCAAAACAGGTTGTGCCTAAAAAGGAGGTCCTGAGCAGGTCTGAGGAGAATAATGATGGCAGCAGCAGGTCTGGAAGTATTAATGATAAGACTGAGAGATCTCAAAGTACATTGGATGTTCATGTAAGTGAAACTGTGCCAAAAAAGGTCAAGGGAGACCCCGACCTTGAACCTGGCAGGTTTGATGGAAGTAGGTCTGAAGGGATTGATGAACCAAGAAAAAGCAATATTGAGCCCCAGATTGATAAATCTGAAGGAGACCAAGCAGACTCCAGGTTAAAAAGTTTACACCAGGAAAAATCTTTGTTGACTTCCAAACCTGGGATAGACGGGCTCCATCGTGAATCTCGTTCAAGACAAGTAACTGGTGAAAATTACGATGACTCGGAACTCGATATTGACGAGGAGGATAATGACGATGAGGATGAGGTCAAATAGGTACCTTAATTAATTTTGGAAAAATGAATTTCATCTTGATGTGAATCTGA